TGCGTGGATGGTCCATGCTATACAGTAGAGAACACAGCACAGCATGGGGAGGAGCTGACCAGGCCTCTGTGAAGAAAAACGTGGTTCGGGACTATTTAGAAAAGCTGGATGAGCACAAGTCCATGGGGCTGGATGCGCTGCATCCGAGAGTGCTAAAGGAGTTGGCGGATGTGATTGCAGAGCCATTGGCCATTATCTTTGAAAACTCATGGTGATCGGGGGAGGTCCTGGATGACTGGAAAAAGGCTAATGTAGTGCCCATCTTTAAAAAAGGGAAGAAGGAGGATCCTGGGAACTACAGGCCAGTCAGCCTCACCTCAGTCCCTGGAAAAATCATGGAGCAGGTCCTCAAGGAATCAATTCTGAAGCACTTCGAGGAGAGGAAAGTGATCAGGAACAGTCAGCATGGATTCACCAAGGGCAAGTCATGCCTGACTAATCTAATTGCCTTCTATGACGAGATAACTGGCTCTGTGGATGAGGGGAAAGCAGTGGACGTGTTATTCCTTGACTTCAGCAAAGCTTTTGACACGGTCTCCCACAGTATTCTTGCCAGTAAGTTAAAGAAGTATGGGCTGGATGAATGGACTATAAGGTGGATAGAAAGCTGGCTAGATTGTCGGGCTCAATGGGTAGTGATCAATGGTTCCATGTCTAGTTGGCAGCCGGTATCAAGTGGAATGCCCCAAGGGTCGGACCTTTGTTCAATATCTTCATTAATGATCTGGAGGATGATGTGGATTGCACCCTCAGCAAGTTTGCAGATGACACTAAACTGGGAAGAGTGGTAGATATTTTGGAGGGTAGGGATAGGATACAGAGGGCCCTAGACAAATTAGAGGATTGGGCCAAAAGAAATCTGATGAAGTTCAACAAGGACAAGTGCAGAGTCCTGCACTTAGGACGGAAGAATCCCATGCACCGCTACAGACTAGGGACCGAATGGCTCGGCAGCAGTTCTGCAGAAAAGGACCTAGGGGTTACAGTGGACGAGAAGCTGGATATGCGTCAACAGTGTGCCCTTGTTGCCAAGAAGGCTAATGGCATTTTGGGCTGTATAAGTAGGGGCATTGCCAGCAGATCGAGGGATGTGATCGTTCCCCCCTGGCTGACATTGGCGAGGCCTCATCTGGAGTACTGTGTCCAGTTTTGGGCCCCACACTACAGGAAGGATGTGGAAAAATTGGAAAGAGCCCAGCGGAGGGCAACAAAAATGATGAGGGGACTGGAACGCATGACTTATGAGGAGAGGCTGAGGGAACAGGGATTGTTTAGTCTGCGGAAGAGAAGAATGAGGGGGGATTTGAAAGCTGCTTTCAACTACCTGAAAGGGGGTTCCAAAGAGGCTGGATCTAGACTGTTCTCAGTGGTAGCAGATGATGGAACAAGGAGTAATGGTCTCAAGTTGCAATGGGGGAGGTTTAGGTTGGATATTAGGAAAAACTTTTTCACTAGGAGGGTGGTGAAACACTGGAATGCGTTGCCTAGGGAGGTGGTGGAATCTCCTTCCTTAGAAGTTTTTAAGGTCAGGCTTGAGAAAGCCCTGGCTGGGATAATTTAGTTGGGGATTGGTCCTGCTTTGAGCAGGGGGTTGGACTAGATGACCTCCTGAGGTCCCTTCCAACCCTGATATTCTATGATTCTGTGAGCAGGGTTGCTCAAAAGGTATTCAAGAGATCTTGCTAAATAGTAGAAAGCCTTCTACAAGAATGACTGATCTTTCTAAATGGAGGTGTTTCTCCATCTGGTCTCACCAATATGGGGTATCACTGTCTGGTTCTTCAGGTCAGCATATTCAGGACTACTTGTTATACCTGAAACACCAAGGTTTGGCAGTTAGTTCCATTAAGATACATCTGGCTGCTATTTCAGCATTCCATCCTCAGGTGGGCTATTGGTCTATTTTCTCCAATAACATGTCCGTATGATTTTTAAAGGGCTTAATCAAATTATACCCTCAAGTGCAAGACTCCATTTCACCATGGGATCTAAACCTAGTATTGTCAAGACTTATGATCCATCTCTTGAATCATTGGCTACTGCTCTCAGCTGTTTCTGTCAATGAAGGTGGCTTTTCTAGTGGCCATTACCTCAGCCTGAAGAGTAGTGGAACTGCGGGCATGAGTGTGACGGGATCTCCATATACAGTACTTTTTAAGGACAAGGTTTGCCTGTGCCCTTATCTGAAGTTCCTCCCAAAGGTGGTTTCCTCTTTCCACATCAATTAGCCAATTTATTTGCCTGTTCTTTGACCAAAACAACACATGAGCAGGGAGGAAGAGTATTTGCATATCTTGGACGTCAGAAGGGTCTTGACATTTTACCCAGATAGAACCAGACATTTTTCAAAATTTTCTCAACTGTTCATATCAGTGGCTGACAGAGTAAGGGGTCAATCATTCTTCACCCAGAGAATTTCTTCCTGGATCACATCTTGCATATACATGTGCTGTTATTTGGCAAATGTCGCTCTACCTGTTAGTTACAGCTATGTGACAAGGTCAAAATCAACTTTGGTGGCCTTTCTGGCACAAGATCCAGTTGCAGATATTTGTAAACCAAAAACAGTAATCTGGTCCTCAGTCCACATGTTTGCCTCCCGTTATGCTGTAGCTTAAGACTGCAGAGACGATGCTAGAGTGGGTTGAGTTGTTCTCTATCTTTATTGAAATATACTCTGATCCTGCCTCCTGTTCTATGGCTTGTGAGTCACCAAGAGTGGAATACACATATGCAATCAGTTTAAGAAAAAATGGTAACAAGTTCTATATCAGTTATTCTTTGAGATGTCCATTCCATGACCCGCCCTCCTATGCCTCTACATCAGAGTTACGGCAAAAAGGAACTGAGGGAGGCCATGGGTGGCTATGCCCTTTATACCTGAACGCAGTGGCATGTGTCAGCAGGGGATCTCGAGCCGCCCAACAGGCATTGCTGAGGGCAGATGTTTCTGACTGGGCACTCAGACTCCAAGAATGGAATGGACGTGTGCAACACATCTCAAAGAGCAACAGTTATGGAGCAGGTTAGTACTGTTTCTCAGGACACATGAGCACTCCCAGTGTAATAGAAATATTAGGGTATTGCATCTTTATCTAAGACTTCCTTCCAAATGTTCACTAGACATATTTGATAAATAGATATTAACAAAAGCAAGCAAAAAATGCAGTTTTAAACAATGGCTAAAATTCACTTCCTCTCTTGCCTGCTGCACCTTTTAATCTTCTGTCTCTTGTGATGTTGTATCATATATTCTCATGTCACCCTTGAGTCTTCCAGCATACATAAGATCTGAATTTCTACTGTAAAAAAACAAGCAGAAAACCTTTCAGGCTTTCTTTATATGTCACAAACAAACAAAAAGGGTACAGGTTCAATTATATTTTTTGTAAATCACCTTTATGCATGGTCAGGTCTGCTCAGTACTGCTCAGTGGTTCAGGAAAATACCTTAGTATCTAGACAGAAAGAGAACCCAAGTGCTGCAGGAAATGTTTGTAACTTAGTAAGTGGTACCTGCTTGCCTCAATCAGTACTGAACCAATGCCCCAGCATTGCGCTAGTAGACTCTGTTGTTGCTGTTGCCATCTTTTAGGTGAAATAAAAAATTTAGGTCCTGCATGCTTGTGGTTGCTAAATTCTAAGTTCCTCAGAGCAGTACACTGTTGATTCTTAACAAGCAATAATAAATGAATTGCATCATGGTGTTTACCCTGATGTCCATTGTTATTGTTTGTTTGTTATTCATTCATTACAAAATGTTTACCCATGTGCCTAAATTACACTTCTTGTACCAGCTAATCTCCATGCTCAAGAGATGGAGAGAGATTCACTCTGATGAAGGGCAGGCTGTGTTTTCGCAGTTGCCTTTCCTTGGGGTTTCTGCTTAGGACAAGCTTTAACTCCTCCTGGAACTTTGTAGAAGCTACAGAAAGAAGGTGCTGAATCAGGCCATTCCCTGGTCATGTTCCCTTCCCAGCTAGTTCCACCCTGCTTTGTGGGCTGCACTGTACTCTAATGATTCTCTGGGCATAGCTAAGATTTTGACTTCTATGCACCTCTATAGCCTTGTCCCTTGCAGAATTATTTGCTGCCACAGACCTCCAGGATTTATGCCAAGATAAAGACTAGGTGAATCTGCGCCCAAATATGGAGAGTCTAAGTCTATTCCAATTAAGTTAATAACAAAACTTCTGTTGACTTCATTGGGGACGTGCATAGGTGCCAACTTTTCCCCATGCCGGTGGGTGCTCAACCCCCCCACCCCCAGACCCGCCCCCATTCCAACCCCTTCCCTAAAGTCCCCGCCCCAACTCCACCCCCTCCCTGTTCCTGCTCCTCCCCTGCCTCCCAGCACTTGTCGCGCGAAACACCTGTTTCGCGGCAGCAAGCGCTGGGAGCTAGGGGGAAAAAGCAGGCACACGGTGCACTCAGGGGAGGAGGTGGAGTGGAGGTGGAGGTAAGCTGGGGTGGGAGGCGGGGTGGGGTGCTGCCGGTGGGTGCAGAGCACCCACCAATTTTTCCCCGTGGGTGCTCCGGGGGAGCACCCATGGAGTCGGGGCCTATGGGAACATGGTTAAGTCCCACATGGTAGAAACATATACTACCCATCATACTTTACAGTGGAGTAAGGTTTCCAAGCTGGCTGCAGTCTCTTGGGCGCTTTCCCATTGGTGTGGTGCTTGGGTATGATGTGGAGCTGGAGCTTCTAGTCTGCAGCGGATCTGCTCTATGAGATTTGCAGTTATAAAAACATCAGTTGTAAGCTATTATGCTGAATTCCATTTTACTCTGGTTATACGGGACAGACAGCACACAACAGTGTTCTGGTTGTTAGGTTAATGGGAATTTACATTACCTAAAAAATGATTGTTTCTGATTGCATCAGTTGGTGAAGAAGTAGCTTCTCCATAGTCTGATTTTAGAGTTGGAGTTCATAAGGGCTTGAAAGAACAGGGGAAGTGGCCCATCCTTATGTATGCATGCATTGTTTTCTTGCAGTGCGCCATGTTTCTTGCAGGCTAGTGTGCCTGTGTGAAGGCAGCGATCCTCCAGAGGAGATGGTGCGAAGGCAGATTTTGGTAAGTCTAGCTAAATGGTGAGAATGCAAGTGCAGTATGGTGGGTTCCAAGGGAAATCTTGGAAAGGTACTTTCAAATGATAGAGTAATTCAGGAAAGTGAGTGAAATTATATTTCTGAGGGATGTATCTTCTAAAATTGGACCTGTGTTATCACAATGATACCTGGTTGAGCCATTATAGTTAGGGGTTTCTCAGCCATACCATTATGAGCCTTGACTTCCATTGACATCTGTTAGTCTTTATGGTGCAACTGGATTCCTTGTTGACTTCCATAGTAAACCAGCATAACACCCCTTAGTCCATGGTGAGAACATGAGTTGCTGAGGTCTCCCACGTGGAAATTAACGGCACTAGCTCTGCCTTACCCAGCCAATAAAATATTGTGAAAGAAGTAAATTACTGCTTCAGTACTTTATGCAAAAGAATACATCCTGTCGTGATAACTGGGCCTACAAATTTACCCTAATTATGAGCTCAACTGTAAAAAGTGAGTGCAAGTTCATAAAATGCCACAGTAACGTGTAACAACAAATGTTGATGGGAAAAGGTGCAAAAGCGAGACAGACTGAATTAGGCCAAGCAAAAATGCCTACTGATATAATTCAAGGAGTGTGTTAAGATCATGCTTGGTAAACAAGAAAAGTGTGGAACCGGAAATCAGTGAACAAAAATTGGTGTGTCAGATACTAGGCCTGGTTGGTGGACAAAATGATGAGAAAATGGGCTGCTCGTCCATTCACACTCCCCTTTTGGGGTCCTCAAAAGAGACTTTTTGGGGAAAAGAGGGCTACCATAATGCTGGCTGACGGAAAGACTAGAGAGAGGAAGGAGCAGTCTTCACAATGATGGCTGTTGCCCCCCACTGTCTCTTGGGACCCAGTACCTTCTTCATCCTAATCCTGATGGATGTCCTGATCAGGCCAGAGAGAGGGACCCAGATGATACTAACACCTCCACTGGCTCTAGCTAACTCTCAGATACCATCTGGGAGGTGAGACTGTCACATACACCCCTTGTGTGATCTTTTCCTTCCCCACCTTCTTTCTTCTCTCACCTATTCCTCTCCTGTTTCCTTCTATCTAATAAGAGTCTGGCTTAGCCAGCCAAGACTGTATTTTGCAACACTGATGTAAGGCTGTGACCAAAAAGAAGAGGTAGCTAAATGGAATGCCCTAACCGCCTGGTTCTGGTGTACAAGTTTGCAAGGTCTTGGAGTGGCTGATAGGAATGGTGGTATGTCTGTGTTTTTCGAACAATGAGGTTGCAAGTGAAAGTCAACACCAAAGACATAAACTACATTTTTATCTTTGCTGTTCTCCCCTTTTGTGTGTTTGTCTTCTTTTATTTTCTTAGGAAACAGAATCAAACTTTAACGTGGCCAATAACAACAGCTCCAGCCCATCTGAACGAACATCTTCTTTTCCCTGAAAACGACAGTTATTACCATCTTTATATCAGGGATCGGCAACCTTTGGCACGTAGCCCACCGGGGTAAGGCCCCTGGCGGGCTGGGCTGGTTTGTTTACCTGCTGCATCTGCAGGTTCGGCCTATTGCAGCTCCCAATGGCTGTGGTTCGCTGCTCCAGGCCAATGGGGGCTGTGGGAAGTGGTGCGGGCTGAGGGACATGCTGGCCGCCACTTCCCGCAGCCCCCATTGGCCTGGAGCGGCGAACTGCGGCCAGTGGGAGCTGCGATCGGCCAAACCTGTGGACGTGGCAGGTGCCAAAGGTTGCCGATCCCTGCTTTATATCCTCTAAGACAGTGGTTTTCAAACCATGGGTCACGACCCAGAACTGGGTCATGGAATCAAAGGAACTGGGTCACAGCGACTCTGGTCAGCATCGCCGACTGGGCCATTAAAAGTCCTGTCGGCGGTGCTGCCCAACTATGGCAGGCTAGTCTCTACCTGTTCTGACACCCCGGAAGTGGCCAGCAGCAGGTCTGGCTCCTAGGCGGCGGGGGGACATGGAACTCTGCCCTTGCCCTGAGCACCGGCCAATGGGAGCTGGTGGGGGGGATAGGCAGTGCCTGTGGGCGAGAGCCACTTGCGTGCATCTGCCTAGGAGCTGGACCTGCTGCTGACTGCCTCCAGGGCACAGCACAGTCTACGGTGCCAGGACAGGACTGAAGCCTGCCTCTGCACCCCCGTGCCCCAACCCCAGCCCCCTGCCATAGTCCTGAGACCCCCTCCTACACCTCAAACCCCTCATCCTGGCCCCAACCCAGAGCCTGCACCCCCAGCCCAGAGCCCTGACCCCCTCATTCCCTGCCCACCCCACAGCCCTCACCCCCACATCCCAAACCTCTGCCCCAGCCCTGAGCCCCCCCACACCTCCAAACCCCTCATCCCCAGCTCTGTTGGGTCTTGGGCATCAACAGTTTTCTTCAACTGGGTTGCCAGAAAAAAAGTTTGAAAATCACTTCTCTAAGAGACTGTCATATAAAGCATATAAAGGGGTTTTTCCTTCTAAGAAGTCTCTCCAGTTAAAGGGAAAAGGAACAAGCGTTGTTGAAGTTAAAGCCTTATTTAATACTTTACAATTTAAATGCTTTAGGTATTTTTCCTTCTTGTGGGTATAAAGGGTAAAAGGATTTTTAATGGTGTGTTTGCCATGGTACTAAGCAGGCTGAGGTATAGGGGTGCCATTTCATATTTTGTTAGGGAATGCAACTTTAACCGGGAATCCAGGGGCTACTTAGGCACCTGAAAACTCTAGGGTTTTTTGCAGATAATAATTTAGAAATTAGCTGTTAAGGCACTGTATCTAATTCCTATATAACAAAAAAGAGGATTAAATAAATATTAGGCCCACTCAGCTCCAATACTAAGATGTTCTCACATCTTTTGTTAAGTCACTTGAGGGACACTGGTTAGGTTTAAAATTGTAATGTATATTCTTTGTTACTAACTCTTGAATACAACAATTGAAACAACTGTAGAAAAATCTAGATTACTTTTTATCACTTTTTTGCAGTTCATCAGTCTTGGAATAGATCGTTTAACTTTGGAAACATCCAACTAGGGCAAAGCCCTCAGAATTTATACTGCACCTGCCTGGGGTTGTTGGGGTGTTACCTCACTACAAATAATAGACTAGAAACTGGAGGGAAACAGGAGGGAAAGTGACAATTTCAAGTCACTTTCATTTTCACAGTGTTGCCAATACCAAATGTTCAAAAATCATGAATCAGGCTCACCAAAAATCACGAGATTGGCTTTAAACTCATGAGATTATGTAAAAATAACAGATTTGGTGTTCTTTCTATTTGCCTTCTGCTTTTTGAGCCTTTAGGGTGCACTGGGGTTACATTTTGAAGCTTTCTCCACAGCCACAAGGGCTAGAAACTTCATTTTTTTTTAAGAATTGTCAAAGTTTGACTCAGACTCACAATTTATCAGACCACTCTGTTTTATTAGCAAAGCTGCTCTGCTAATACATTTAGAAGTGAGCCCCCCGAGTGGGGCTTGTGTCTTTTAATTTATACAGTTTTTTGGAGAACAAGTTACAGAGAAGTTACAGACAAAAGAAGAAAAAGATTTTAGTCACCACCCTTCGAGATCCCTGAGACCAGTCACGTATCTTCTATTACCTGCCACCCTTAACAATCTCCTTTAACAGCTTCCAGTTAACTTAACTAATTGCCCTTCACACCTTCCATTCTGATGCCTGCTTCTTAGACTTGCTGGCTCTATCTTAATTGCTTCTCCATTCAAAAGCTAACTGTCCCGACGTGTGCTCCCTCAGATACTTTGTAACATATTTTGGCATGCGCTCTCATATACAATGTATCCAGCATGTCCCCTTATACAATGTTATACTTCCACAGAAGGAAGGCTGAAATCATCACATATCTCCTTGACTCCAGGAGCCGGAGCTTTAAGGAAAACAATTATCATGAGACTCATGACAAAAGCATGAGCCTTGGTAACACTGCTTTCCCTTCTGTTTAAAGGCTTGTTACTTTCCAGAAGGCTCTGAAACACAACACGACAGCGACTGAGTTGCAGTTCTCACAGGAGACTAAATCCAAACACTAAGAAAATTCTATATTTTAAAGTTGAGGGGAAAAACTTGAGACTTCTGAGGTCTATCAGGGCCACTGCAGGCAGGAAAGGGAAATAAACAGGCACAGGTGCTCTGAGCAGTTCTTCCTCTTGAAATAAAGTTGGAGGGTCAAATCTTCTAGTCCGTAATCCAGTAAAACTTCTGTTGCCTCCACTCATAGATATTAACATGTGCTTAGAATCATAGAATAGAATCATAGAATATCAGGGTTGGAAGGGACCTCAGGAGGTCATCTAGTCCAACCCCCTGCTCAAAAGCAGGACCAATCCCCAATTAAATCATCCCAGCCAGGGCTTTGTCAAGCCTGGCCTTAAAAACTTCTAAGGAAGGAGATTCCACCACCTCCCTAGGCAACGCATTCCAGTGTTTCACCACCCTCCTAGTGAAAAAGTTTTTCCTAATATCCAACCTAAACCTCCCCCACGGCAACTTGAGACCATTACTCCTTGTTCTGTCCTCTTCCACCACTGAGAATAGTCTAGAACCATCCTCTCTGGAACCCCCTTTCAGGTAGTTGAAAGCAGCTATCAAATCCCCCCTCATTCTTCTCTTCTGCAGACTTAACAATCCCAGTTCCCTCAGCCTCTCCTCATAAGTCATGTGTTCCAGACCCCTAATCATTTTTGTTGCCCTTCGCTGGACTCTTTCCAATTTATCCACATCCTTCTTGTAGTGTGGGGCCCAAAACTGGACACAGTACTCCAGATGAGGCCTCACCAATGTCGAATAGAGGGGGACGATCACGTCCCTCGATCTGCTCGCTATGCCCCTACTTATACATCCCAAAATGCCATTGGCCTTATTGGCAACAAGGGCACACTGCTGACTCATATCCAGCTTCTCGTCCACTGTCACCCCTAGGTCCTTTTCCGCAGAACTGCTGCCTAGCCATTCGGTCCCTAGTCTGTAGCTGTGCATTGGGTTCTTCCGTC